CTTCCTGGCCGCCGCCTCGTGGCTGCCCAACGTGGCCCTGGCGCTGGGACTGGCCGCGGGGCTCCTCCTGGCCGCCGTCCCGCCGCACCGTTGCCGGCCGGACCCCGCGCTGCTCCCCGCCGCCCTGCGCAACGCCAGCGGCCCGGAGCTGCTCAACGCCTCGGCGCCACCGGGCAGCCGCTGCCTGCTCTACCGCTACCCGCTGCCCGGAGGCGCCCCCGGCCCGCCCAACGGCACCGGGCCCTGCACCCGCGGCTGGCAGTACGCGCTGCCCGCCGCCGGGCTCCGCTCCACGCTGGTCACGCAGGTGGGTCCCTCCGACGGCTCCCTTCGCCCGGCGCCGTCCCGGGAAAGGCGGCGGCGGCGGGGAGGAGGAGGGGCGGGGAGCCCCGGCTGAGCTGCGGCTTCTCTGCTGACGCCGCTTCCCCCGCAGTGGGACCTGGTGTGCGCCAAGCATTGGCAGGTGCCGCTGGAACAAACCACCCACCTCTTGGGATGGCTGCTCGGCTACGTGGCCCTGGGGGCGGCCTGCGACAGGTAAGGCGGCTTCCCCTTTGAGCCTTTGGCGGGCCCCACAATGAGGACTGGCCGCTTGGGCAACCAGAGGCGGCTTTTGTGCAGCGTTGCACAAGACCCGTTCTGTGGGTCTCCGGTGGGGCTGAGGCGGCTGCTGGCACCTGCGTGGGAGGCGCTGCTTTCCCGGAAGGAGGTCTTGTTTTCATCCCTCTTCATAAGATGATTCACTGGAGCGGAGCAATGCCGTCCGGGGCCCACTTTGGATTAAAGGCCAAGTATTTCCTCCTGCTCTTCGCCAGCCCTCTGGGGGAAGCTCCCTCCTCCCCACACGGAATCTTGCCTGTAGTTGTGATCCTCTGATGCCCACTATGAGGGGGGGGATACCCACAGGCCTGAATGCAGACAACCCCCTGCTGCAAGTCTTGGAAGTTGCTTTCAGGGGCCGCAGAGGAGCAGCCCCAGGCAAAGAAGGCGCTCTTGGATAAGGCCTTTGGGGGGAGCCTTGCTGTAAAATGAACTTTGTGAAACCTGGCATTTTTCTGGGCTCCCTGGACCAGAAGGAGCGGGAGGTTGGCAGCCCCCGTGGGGCCCTTCAGTAACCCCGCCCAGGGCCTTGTGTTGCTGGTTCCAACAGAGGCCAAAAGAGTTTGCTTCCCTGGACCTCGGACGGGAGCTGCCTCCGTGCAGTCAGGCGCAGCCTCTTCTCCTCTCCCTTTCCTCCTCCCGTCCTCCCTGCTCTCCTCTCCTCCAGGTTTGGCCGTCGGATCATCTTCGCCCTCTCCTTGGTGCTGTCTGTCCCGCTGGGCTTCGGCGTGGCCCTGGCAGTGGGTTACCCGATGCTGGTGGTGATGCGGCTGCTCTTTGGGGCCGTGCTGGCGGGCGCCTTCCTCTCCCTCTACGTGGCCCGTGAGTCCCTCCCGACTTCCAAAACAGCCCCGGCTTTAGGCCCAGCTGCCCAGGCCGATGGGGTCTGTGGCCTTGGAATAAGGGGGCTTTGGCCGGTCCCTGGTTTGGGGCTTCCCTGGTCCTGAAACGCAGCTCCCTGGGGAACTGAGTGGCTTCCACGGAGGTTGGCGGATGCCCCGCTTCCCCTGGGCAGGCTTGGGAAGCAGACGTTCCCCTGGCTGAACGGCTTCGTGGCCTCTGTTGGCTGCTGAAGCCGGAAGCCCCCAAGACCCCCAATGAGACGGAGGCCTTTGGTCCCGTTGATGCCCTCCCTCTGCTGCTCCTCAGGCCTGGAGTTGTGTGACCCTCCCCACCGCCTGATGGTCACGATGAGCGCCAGCTTCTTCTGGGTTGCTGGGGAGTTGTTCCTGCCGGGACTGGCCGTGGCTGTGGCCGAGTGGCGGATGCTCCAGGGCGCCATCACACTGGGACTGACCCTCCTGGCTGCTTGCTGGTGGTGAGTGCGCTTCTAGGTCTGGACGCCCAGAGGTTCAGTCTCCCTTCCTGGCCTCCTTTAGGGAGCAGCAAACGCGGCACACCCAGTCACGCCCGCTTTCTCCCCTCCCAGGTCTCCTTCTCTCTTCCCTGAGTCAGCCCGGTGGCTCTTGGCCACACAGCAGCTGCAGAGAGGCAAGCGGGCCCTGCTGGATCTGGCCAGGGGCAACGGGGTCAGCCTGGAAAATGGCTCCCCAACCGGGGAGACCCTCCTGGCAGGTGGGTCTCCTGCTCGGCCTCTCAGGCGCCTTCTGGATGCCGCTGGTTTCAGCTGACTGGAGCCCATCCTGCACCCACAGACTGGCAGCCCCAGGGCGGAGTCCATCAGAGGGGAGGGGGGGTGGGGAAGCTCCCCTTGGCGCCTCAGAGCCCCACTCGAGTCCACCTCTGGCCTCAGCTGACCGGCCAGCCAGTTGGGCCTGGGATCCAGCTCTCCTTTTGTGCCCAGAGATGGACGGACAGGCGGGAGGCGTCCCCAGAGCAGCGTATAGCAGCGTCTGCCGGGTCTTCAGCACGAGGGTCGTATGGAAGAACAGCCTCATTCTGGGCTTCACTGCGTAAGTCCTCCTGGGAAGGGGCAAGCATGGGCCTGGGCGGACCCTCCTCCTCTTCCTCACCAGCTGCCCTGGGGACCCTGTGTGACGCCTCCCTCCCTGCTGGCCCCCGGACAGCCTGCGGACGTAACCTTCCCCCCCCCCCAGGTTCATTGGGAGCGGCATCCGCCACTGTTTTGCCCGCAACTTGGCTCCGTACGGCCCTCGCTTTTACTTCCCCTACTTCCTGCTGGCGGGGAGCGAAGCGGTGGCCGTCCTCTTCCTGTGCCTGACGGTGGATCACTTTGGCCGCCGGGCGGTCCTTCTCTTTGGCACCATCCTGACTGGCATCTCCTCCCTGCTCCTCCTGGCCCTGATGCAGTGTAAGGAGACCCGGCTGCCGGGGGGGGGGGATGGGGGCCTCACTTCCCAGGAGGGGAACCGATCCTGCTCAAAGGTCCCGATTGTTGTGTTGCTGGGCCCTGCGAGGGGCTTCCCTCTTCCTAGAACTGGCCTTGCCCAGATGCAACTTGGCTGGCTTGCTTGAGTCGCCTGCGGAGGTTTGGGTGGCAGGCAGGCGATTTCCCTCCTAGGGGCCGAAGGACACCCGGCCGGCCTCTCAACCAACCCCGTCCCCTCCCCCAGATCTAATGGCATGGCTTGTCTTGGCACTCTCCATCCTGGGCATTCTGGCATCTCAAGCTGTTGCTGCCCTCAGCATCTTCTTTGCCAGCGAGGTGCTGCCCACTGTGGTCAGGTGAGGAGGCATCAGCTGTCCCTGTATGGGCAGAGACGGGCAGGCTGGAGACTGGCGCTCAGCTTCCGGTGAGGTTGGAGCCTTGCCCAGAGGCCACAGGGGCCGATTCCTGGTGGGCTTTCCCAGTGAGCTTTGGCCGGAGGCTGCTTTCCCTCAGGGGGATCCGTGCTGGTTCAAGGCTCCGGAGAGAAAGGCGGGGGGTGCTCTGCCCAGGGGCCACGAGGGGCTTGTTGAGCTGGGGCCCTGGAGGGAAGGGGGCCCTCCCACGGTTGGCAGGGGCCTGGCTGCTGCCCAATGGGGCTCTTTTGCTTTGCAGGGGGGGCGGGCTGGGCCTCATCCTGGCTGCACACACGCTGGGCCAGGCGGCCACCCCCCTGATGGACATCCAGCCCAACCGCGGCTTCTTCCTGCACCACGTGGTCTTCGCCTCCTTCGCCGTCCTCTCGGTGCTCAGTGTCATGCTGCTCCCGGAGACCAGCCAGCGGCCCCTGCCGGACTCCGTGCAGGAGGGGGAGAGCCTGCACCGCCCCCCACTCTTCCACCCCAAACGCCGTCACAGACGCCGCCAGGACCAGCTGCCGCTGCTTTCTACCCACACGGGCGCCAGCCCCTACGACCCCGAGAGCTACGCCCACCTGGTCACGGCCACAAAGAAGATGCTGGGCAGCCGCGTGGGGGCCGCTGGCACTGGGGGCCAAGGCAGCCCCCTGTGCCCACAGACCTGAGAGCACGGCAGCAGCCAGAGGAGAGGAGCGCTGCTGGGCCTGGGCTGCCAAGGCCCCCACAGAAGAAACGTTTTCGGCCCCGGGGAGATCTGGTGAGGGGCCGGAAGAACTGGGTGCCCTCTTGAGGAAAGACTGACCCAGCCCCCCCCCCTTTTCTTTGCAAACATGCAATAAACCCCACGCTGCCTTTAGACTTCATTTTTCTTGGGGAGTTTTATTGTCAGCCACAGCAGGCACTGCTCCCCCCCACCCAAAAAAAAATCCTGCCCTCTTCCCCTGCCGAGACCCCCAAGCGCCTCCTTCTTCTGGCTGGAGCCCCCCTGGCACTTTTGCAGCCTTGGACTGGGCTATGGGGGGAGACAGCCAGGTTTGCCCCTTAGCCCAGAAGCTGCTCTTCAGGATGGGCCCCTGGCGAGTTCTGGGGTGGAGAGGGGAGGGGGCATCACCGCTGGCTTCTCCCCAGGGGCTCTTCAGTTCCCTTGAGCGTTTCTCACCCAGCAGCCCTCCCTTTAGGCTCTCGTGGCCCCTGGAGGTGACTGTCGGGGTCCCGGCTGGGGGAAAGAAGGGGGGCCTTTGGGGGCCCTGGGAGTCTCCTCCAGCAGCTGCCAGCAGAATCTCAGCCGGTGGCCTGGGGGCTCCGCCTGGGCTGACCCAGCTGCAGTTGGCAAGAGAGCCGCTGGAAGTGGCCCTGCCTCTCGGGGGACGTGAGAAGCAGCCGGGCACGTGCCCCACTCGCCAGCCGGGAGGGCGATGCGGCTGCTCAAGCCAGGTTGGTCAGCTGTCCGGTCTGGCCCTGCTGCTCCTTCTGCCCCCTACTGGCCGTAGAGCTCAGCCAGGCGCTGGAACCGCGGCCCCCATTCCTGGAGGTAGTCGTAGTCCTGGTCTTCGTCTCCCAGGCTGGACTGGAGGGAGCTGAGGGAGCCGCTGGCTGAACAGGCCCCCTCGTAGTCGTAGATGAGGGCCGTGTCGTAGGGGGGGACGCTGGGGTCGCTGTCGGCTGCCTCCAGGCCCTGCAGGGGACGCAGCCATGAGCCTCCCGGAGGAGAGGGAATCCCAGGGCCAGAAGGTACCCGAGAGGTCCTCTAGTCCAGCCCTTCTGCCCTCCCCCTCAGCCGAAGGATCCACGGCCTGTTTCTGAAATCCTCCAGGGACGAAGCAGCCGCTCGAGAGGCCGATTTCGGAAGGGCCGGGCAGGGCTCCCCCTCCTCCCACCCTCCTGGCCGCTTTGCACCTCATTGATGAAGTCCTCAATGTCGGAAGGGCAGCGCGGCAGGGGCAGGGGCAAGGCGTAGCCGTGGGGGGCGTCCCTCCTCCGAAGGGGCTTCCCCCGGGGGGCCGGGGGCCCAAAGAGGTCAGGGTCACGCAGCTGGGAGAGATCGTAGGCGTCCTGCGGGCAGAGAAGGGGCCCCGGCCATCACGACCACATCGCTTGGAGGTGGGGAAAGGAACTCCCTCCCCCCGGCTGCCCCCTCCCCCCGGCCTCACCTGGTCCTCTTCGCCACCCCCCTGCTCGTCATAGTTGACTATGTTGTCGCGAAGATCGTCCTGCCAGGAGCCCAGCAGCCCCTTCTGCAGAGCCTGCCGGTGGGAGTGCCCCAGTCCGGCCACCAGCAGCACCAGCACTGCCCAGAGAAGGAGGAGGGTCAGAGGCCCCCGTGCCCCCACCCCCACCCACCCCAAGCCCTCCGGGCAGCCACCACACCGGCCCCCTCTGGCTGCTGCTCTTCCTGTGGGCACCCCTCCTCTCCAGACCACCCTGCCTTGCTCTGCCCATGCCAGGGCAGCAGGAATTGCAGCCAGCCAATACAGCCCCCACCCCAAATAACTCTCCCATTCACACACACACACACCGCTGCAGGGAAATGGGGAGGTGCCTGGCGCACACAGGAGGGTATCTTGGTGCCAGGATCTTCCTCTGCAGCAGGGAGGCAGAAATGCCCCCCCCACCAGGCCCAGAAATAGGAGATGCATCCATTGGATTTGCAGACCCACAAACCCCCCACCTGGACCCTCCCACCCCCACCCCAGGAACGTGGGGCAGAGGTCCAGCTGTGGGGGCTGCAGACCCCCCTCCAGCCTCAACTGAGCCTTCGGGCACTTACGCAGGAGCAGGAGGGCGCTGCAGAGGATGGCCAGCAAGGCGCCCCAACTGAGGCCTGCCCTGGCCCCCAGCGTGGCAGCCGCCTCAGCCCCACAGGTGCCCCACTGGCTGCAGGCACAGACGGAGACGTTCAGCAGCTGCTCTCGTGCCCGTGGGGGGACGCCGGAGTCCCTGACCAGCAGTGGCAGGACGTGGAGGCCCTCGGCCACACCCGGGGGAGGCCTCAGCAGCACATGGGTGTCTGGGGGGAGAGAGGGGAGCAGGGAAGGGGGAGTCAAAGGATGATCCAAGGAGGAGCTCCAGGCCTCCCTTTTCAGCTGCTCTCAGAGGTTTTATCCTCCTCCCCCCCATTAAAAGGGGGCAAGCGATGTGCTCTGGGGGGAGGGGTCTCTACCAGGAAATCCGGTCCAGGCTCCCCCCAAGGCCTGGGTTGAGCTCCCCCCACCCCGCGTGACACGAGGGCCCCCGATTACCGTTGGGGTGGCTGAGAGTCCAATTGTGGGCGCTGCTGAGGCCGAGGTCGAAGTGGAAGGGCCCCGCGTGGGGCGCCAAGTCCTGGTCAGTGGCGCTCAGCACCAGGCCTCCCCCTTCTCTGCACAGCGACCCCGTGGTGGGGAAGAGGGAGGGCGCGTGGTCGTTGACCTCCAGCACCTCGACCGAGAGGGTCCCCGTGGCTGTGAGGGGAGGGCTCCCTGAGAGAGAGGGGGGGGTAGATGTGGCTCCAGCTGACCTCGGGGGTCTCCCCAGTCAGAGGAAACTCCCAGGCAGAGGGACTGGGCACCAGAGGGTGGGTGGGCTTCTCTCTCCTCCATGGCTGCCCAAAGGGGACCCCAGTCACAGCCTGGTTATGGATCCTCCCTGAACCCAGGAAATGGGCCCGCAGGACTTTTGAGCAGGGCCCAGTTCCCCCCAAAAGACCCCGGACCCTGCCTGCTCCCCCCTCCACTCACCGTTATCAACAGCCAGGACCTGCGTGACGTACCAGCCGCCCAGGAAGGTGGACCGCGGGGGCACTTTCTGGTGGGCTTCCACCCGGCCAGATTCGGGGTCCACCTGCAGCCAACTGGCTGCCTCAGAGGCCTGCAGGTGCCTGGGGGGGGGGGAGAAGGTTTGGGGACG